TATAAATCATTTCGTAAGCAGAGTGCATCAGAGTTACATCGAAGCCCTCCTCCGTGAGTTCCTCCAAGAGGAGGGGCTCGATACATTCCTCCCCGAACTGCCGGATGAGCGTCCGCCCCCAGTCTGCAGTCAGATACCGCGCGAGCATCGACTGGAGGCAATGGACGGGGGCGAGCATGCGCACGGGGTACCGCTCGTGCCGGAAGGCTCCCGGAAGCCGGTGATCGGTGGCCAGGATCAGATCGCGCCGCGCCAGGTGGTCGAAGATGACGCGGTGGCCGATCGCGCGATTGCCGGGGAGCGCCCAGCGCATGGGGAACACGCGCACGTCAAAGTGGGTATGCTCCCCGTTGATGTTGACTGTGTCGAGGTGGAAGACCCTCTCGGGGTGGGACCTCTCAGGGATCCGGTAGTAGCTGCAGCGATCATTGCCAGTCACGGGCACAAAGCCCGCGGTGAGCAGGTTGTTGACTGCCCGGGTCATATCAGCATCTTGGACGACGAAGTCAATGTTGTTGCAGGAGAATTTCGCACCGTAGACAACAAAGGCCAGTTGACCCCAAAGGATATGATGGATGCCGGCGCGGTCGAGCACGGAGGATACGTGACCGGCGGTGGCTTCGGCTACTGGAAGGTCGGGGTCTGTTGCGTTCGACATTTTGTGGTGGATCTACGTGTGGTGATGGTTCCTAACTGTTTAAATATGATTCTCAGGCCCAAGTGGTGAGAGTGAAGATAGTCATGCAATTCGGCATTGGGAGTCTTTTATATTTATTGAGAAAGAAGAAACGAACGGAGTGATCCGGTCATTCGCGGCAATTGTCGAGAAACCCAACATCGTGAGCGAAATACAAAGGGGATACTTACAGCAAAGAAGACCATGATCTGTTCGTAGCACAGGAGTGTTCCCCTGTCTCTTTGTTAGGATTCTCGCGAGGTTCAATCTATACAGGCAAATCTCTACGAAGACCGGCATAGCATCATTGTATGGTTCCATGGGCTAGCAATAAGATATAAGCAGATTACAGACTCAAAAACAAAGTATTGGAACTTATATTTGACATTTGTGCCCAAATTAAAACACCAAGAAAGAGGAAAAGACATAAAGTGGTGTGGTTGTTCATGCATCTGTTTATAGTGTGGTACCTGACGCGACAACATCTCGCCCTATGCAAAATATCTTCATTGCTTAGCTTCGGTTCTCTCATTCGAATATATGTGGAACAGGTCAGGTCAGGTACATACTGGTTGTCTTTAAATGTGTTTGACAAACAATCCCTTCGTTGTAGCGGTGGGGTCAGTATCCTTGTAGAACCGCGGTGGAAGCTACCCAGAAACGATGTCAGAGCCTTGAGACGGGCATACTAAAGAAAAGCTGCACAGTACTGTACCTGATATGATATTTGCGATCAATTGACCAGCCACTTTGATGCCTCGTTCATGCAGTGTCGGTGCTTTGGCCGCAATCTTTCAGGAGCTTTTTGGTGCGACCTTTCGCCAAGGACAAGGGAGTGGATCCGGTGTTAGCAGGAAGATGGGGGTCGGCATTCGCAGCGAGTAACATTTCAATGATCTTCAAGTCAGGAGCGGATTTATTCAGTATCGCCAGGAAGAGAGGTGACCGGCCAAGTTGACATTGAGAGTTGACGTCAACACCCTCCGCGGCAAGCAGAAGCTCCACGATCGCTCTGCGATCGGCCTTCACTGCTTTTGATAATGGCGTCTCCTGCGAATCATCCTTGCTGTTTGGGTCAGCACTGGCGGCCAGTAGCAACTGAACCACTTCTTTGTGGCCACGCTGTGCAGCCACCGCGAGGGGTACCGTGCCATCAGCCAAGCTTTGACATTCAAGATCCACAGCTCGTGTTCTGAGCAAAGCATCGACTACTTCGTTGTGTCCGTGATAGGACGCCTCCCACAGTGGTGAGTGTCCCGTTGCGTGTTCCTTCGGGTCGGGGTCCGCGCCAGCGGCCAGGAGCCGATTGACTGCCCCCTTGTGCCCTTCTTCTGCCGCTGCATATAGCGGTGTGAAGCCGTAAGTGTCCTGAGGATCAGGGTCCACGCCGTTCTTGGCAAGTAGCAAGCTTATCAGCGATTCTTCACCAAAGAACGCCAGATAGTAGAGTGGCGTCTGTCCTTCGTCATCGGGGCAGTTCGCGTCTATCCCAGGTGCGGTGAGCAGCATTCTGGAGATCGCTTCCTGCTCCCACGCGGTAGCTCTCCGCAGTGCCGTGCTACCATGGGGACACGTTGCGTTGATGTCAAGACGGGGTGTTTCGAGCAGCAGTTTGACTATGTCTTCATAGCCAAATTCGGCCGCCCACACCAGCGCTGGTGTTGAATGCCTAGAATCCTTCGCATTCAGATTCAAGTTGCTTATCGTGATCAGCCGCTTGACTATATCATATCTTCCATTCCGTGCAGCATTCACGAATGCCTTTTCCGCGATCGGAAGCGTCTTGTTGTCTGGTAGAGATGTAGACCGTACTTCAAGTGATTTCTGCGCAGTGGATTCCAGTCCGTTATCTGACGCCCAGATCAACGCCGAACCTTCGCAGTGTCTCCAGTCAAAACGGTAGAGGCACGGGTTTAGTTGGCGATAGAAACGTTTGGATGTCTGAGCGAGAGCGTTTATGTCTTTGGCTGCGTTCATCTGGTCTGCGATGGACAAGACTATCTCGGGTGGGAGCTTGGTCAACATCTTCGATGATTGGCTTGATGGGGATCTAATGTATGAACTTGTGTTGATAGAATCAGAATTCTCGAGACAGAATAATGAAGCTTCAAGGAGGTGTGAGATGTTCTGGTAAAGATTCAGGAAGAAGAGAACTCATGAAGGATATTTGTAGTTTGGATTACAAGAGATGACGGGATAATCATTATCCAGCGCCGGTGAGCGACTATGATATATCGCAACCATAAGTCCGGCTGCAGTGAATATTCTAGCTGCAGTGAATATATTGGAAGTACTTGTAGTCATATCTGGAAACAATCACGTGATGCAATGATATTCTGGGAAGAAGATAGACAGCCTCCTCTTCTGTGGTGAACGACGTTCCTTACAATGAATGATAGAGTACCGGTATCATCTGTGCCATACAAAGGGCTGTACTGGTTTGCACCCGAAAATTGACCGACATCTATCCTCCAAGCTCATCGAGGACGACCTTGAACCATGAATCTGAATGAGAAGAACAAGCTAACATGACAGCATCCCTAATACCCTGCTACAAGACACTATCCATCGCTTCTCTCGCCGCCCATCATATTACCCTAGTTTTCTCCAGTGCCATTGCATGACCCGCCATCAACTCCAACTGTGCCCTCCGAAACCTCCATCGCAGAACCGAGCACCCATGCTTTCTGCCCGCCTGTCCACAGGGGCGCTTATGCGGTTACTCGGCCCCCTTCCACTGCTGGCACCAATGATAGATAACCTTTGCACATTCTGCAATTTAGATAGTTGTCACTGGTACCAGTTATTCAATGACAACATCTCTGGTCTCCTTACTATCGCCCTCCAGCGCCTCCGTTGTCCCGACAAAATACCCCGTGTCTAGACATTACACCAGCAAGATCGAGATTGCGAAGCCGCTGTTCCAAAAGATCACTCACTTGCGCTGGATTTCTGTTTTCAATGTGCTTTCGTCAACCTTGAGGCTTTTCTCCAGCTGAGCACAAATGCAGGAAAGAAGAGAATCGGGCCGAGGCCGTGCTGATAGATTTGCTCCTCCTTGACTCAATCGCCAGCTGCACCAAACTATTTGATCACACAGAAGTCGGGCTGGAAATCCACTAGAAGATTTTAGATTAGGTTGACCCATATTCGAAAGCTGTAGTTGATGTTTTTAGTCGGCCACAAAGAGAGGCCTTTGTGAAGGCGCTTGTTGGTCAAGACAATTGCCTCCTTTGTACTCCATACAAAGCCCAAGGCAACGACGGAGGAGAGCACTCAGCTTTCTCTTGCAAAATAAAATTTGGCTCAAAGCAAACTTACAGAGATAAGAGTACGCCTTTTGTTGAGGGACATTGCAGCTTTGATTCATCTAGACGGAGTAACAATCGACTCTTGGTGAGACCCACACATATCAATTACCCCAACCTCAGCATTTGGTCCATCACCACCTTACTCCCTACCTCGCCTACTCATCAAGTCCTTCCTCCTACTCAGAGCAATCCACTAAGAAGAAGGCGAGATCAACCTCCCCACAAAGTCAACATGTCTAACCAGTGCATCCATGAGTTGCCGGTCCCCCCACAGGACTTGGACAAACATGGTTTGCCCATCTTCGAAGCTTTTCTTCTGGATCACATCCTCAAGTTCCGCACCAATAATCCCCAGCTGATGACCCAGTTCGGCTTCATCCGCAGCGGCTCCTGGGTGCGCTTCTACCGAGAATTCACGCCAGAGGAAAAACATCAACACGGGAAAGACGGAATGCAGTTGTTTCAAAAGTGTGATCTCAAGACCAATGATGTACAATCCACGTTTCACTTGGAGCAGAATCGAGAGGACATTGACGACTATGTGTACGAGGTGATGATGCCTTGGCTGAGGACGTCGGAGGTGACGATCAAGCCGGCGGGTACTGAAACGGTATGGCATTGGGAGAAATAAGGTGTGGGTGTTGATCGCAACTATTGGTGAGTCTGTAGAGAGCAAATGGTCCTGGCCTCATTCGGAGGCAGAGCCGTTCTCGCTAAGCTAATGTAAAAATCCTTGGTCATGATTTTGTTTTTGTTCCATAATTTGACGGCCCGGACGCACGTATACTGTACCTATAATGACTGCCTGAAATGTGACACACGTTATTCGGCACTTTTAGGGAGACAAAGGAAGAGATACCATATCGGTCTTAACGTGTTCGAAATGTCTGGCCAATTGAATACAATATATCGTGGAACAGGAACAGTATCGATGCCTTACTCACATCTGCGCCTCAGACATGATGTGAAATAGTCATCTAGGACAGCATGTCCTTCAAGAGACGCAATGATGCCTATGTGGCCATCTGGCGAAGAATGACCAGTGCGCCATGGTGGATATCCACTCCAAACTGCTCATACGCATCCTGCACAGCCGAGCCATCATACAGCCTCATTTCAGAATGACATTTAACTGACGATGGAAGACAACTCCAATCTCTGGGGCATTGCTCGGACGGGTAGATAACAAATTGTTCGATCACATCTCCCGGGAAGTGAGGAAGCAGCGCCTCACCAATCCAGTGTAGAGCTCGCGCAGATACGCCATCAGAGCTCAGGAAGTCTGATGAGGCTAGACACAGGACCCGAAAGCGGCCATTGGAAAACATCTCTAAGGCCGTCTTAGCAGGGCGAATGCCCATTTCCATGACAAGACTGGGTGTTGAGGTACATACCATCGTGTAGATCGCAATATTCTCCATCTGCGTATCTTTTCAGTCGGACATTCGGTAGTCTGGTCCCAGGCGTAAGAGCCAGCAGACATGATCCTGAAAAGGAGATCGCCTGTCCTGCTTTTATCGTGAGGATGCTTTCCGAGTATTCAATACCACATCCGCTAGAGAACGCATTTATCCTGCGACGACAACCCAGGATGCTATTGACTCCAGAAGTTGATCTATCTTCGCACAAGGACATCTCCTTCGCGGCGGCAAACTTCGCTGCGTACTGCCTATCAAACTCAATCAATTGCTGAGCGATGGGAAACCGCTCGCAGTGATAAGTCTTCAATATCTCATCCTGCTGGAGTGAGTCCAGAGAAACCGGAGTCAGTCCCATGATGGAATAGGCGAGTTTCCATCCCAGGTTGTAGGCATCCATCATGGAAAAATTCATTCCTTGGCCGGCCTGCAGAAAATACGATTGAATAACAAGTTAGCTACCACATTTCAAGCCGAGCTTCTTATTCTGATCGTACGTGCCATTGGGCTGTGGGTATGAGAAGCTGGGTTCATATCAGCAATTAGCCAGCCACAGGGAAGAGAGCTACATACCGTCTCCCACGAGAAAGATCTTGCCGATGTCATCGGCGTCTGAAACCACATACTGCTTCAAGATGCGCTGGCTAACCTGATAGCAAGACCGTCATTCGACCGCCGCCCTTAAACCCAGATGAAACGGACCTAAAACGCGACAGGCTTGTTCAAATATGGCATTCGAGTTCGCGCGGTCTCACAATGACAATCCGCATTCACCTGCATATTCGAATCCGCACAGCTCGCAAGGCATGCGCACATACAGACGAGTCAAATATTCTCCACTTGCATTTCGCTCCCTGGGAATCACGAACACCGTACCGTGCCTGGACCTAATCAAGCTGCGTCTCCGTATATCCGGGAAATCTGTGTCCACCACAAGGTCCAATGAATGCGCCCCAGACCTCGTCCGGGCCATTTCCTTCCAGCTCCAGACCCACGGCTCGCCGCACGGCGGAATGCGCACCGTCCGCTCCCACCAGATACTTACTCCGAAGCGTCTTCACGACGCCGTCGCATTCCACCTTTGCCACCACCGGAAACTCAACATCACCGGCAGAGTCGATATACGCGTCCACGAGCCTGCTTCGACGCTGTACCACAGTCGCATAATACTGAATCAGTCCTGCCTCGTGGATCTGCTCCACCTTACCCTGGTGGATAGTGACTACGTGCGGGTAGCGAGATGATGGCGTCGTCGTGCGCGCTAGAGACGACCGCTGGATGGTGCCGTCAATCGCGGACGGTTCCCAGATTGCGAATTTCGATAGATGGCGGCCATCGTCAAGAAGTGAACCCGCCAGGCCGAGTGACCGAAGTACCTCCAGCGTCTGGGGCTGGAGCCCGTCCGCATGGCCATTTTGCACGCGGTTTGCTTTCGCGTCGATGCACAGCACGGACTCGGCTGTGAGACCATACCGGGCAAGCAAGAAGGTCATCATTAGACCTGCTGGGCCGGCCTGCATGGACTATCAGCTGGAAATCCTAGTGCATGCATGCTTGGGGGAAAGATAGGGTTGATCGGCGGCTTACCCCAATAACAATCACTTCGAATCTATCATCTCGGGTGATTGCCTTCGGCTTGGGGGAAATTCGAGGCAGAGGAAGTCCCACGAATGGAAATAACCCGGTACTCATGGCCAATTCATGAGGAAGGGGTCTAGCGACGATTTCAACAAAGTACTGGCTCTGCGTATATTCGAGAGAAAGAACTATTCGGAGGTATTACTAGATCGACCTTGACTCGTCTCATGGGGATTGACTAGAGCATCATGCCACGTTTCCCCACAATTTGACATCTTCTAGAATTACTTTGATCTCAGTCTTTTATCTTCCATTCTCACAATGAGGATGAGTTCTGGGTTTATTGAGGAAGCGCAATCCGAGCGCCCGGGGCGGGCTCTTTGTCTCCTCTCGGAGAAAGACAAAAAGCCAGATCATCTTCTGCTGCGACTGGCAGCCACTAAAGCTTGATGCCATGATCAATGTACCAGAAGGAACAAGGTCGTGCTAATAGAGCTCGGAACTTGGTATCAAGGGTGTTCGAGCTAAAATACTCATTTTCTCCATGAAGGGATGACAACTGAGGTTTGTGCAGTGGGTTTCAGGGCTTCGGATACGGCGGCAGAATATATAATCACTCTTTTGAGAGGAGTCCCAAGAAAGCAACGCAAGACAATTAGATTTTGCTGCTAAGTATACTGTATCAGAGTGAGCGAGTGAGTCTCAATTTTTATCTCCACTTATTCTCCTGACTTGTTGATAACGTGACTCTGGGCGAATTCGAAAAGATCGAGCAGTGAAGATCATACCGTCCGGCTCGATATTCCTTTGCTTTGGAATCTATTTTACTCAAACCTGCAGTTTCTTAACAGCTGGCCTGCTGGCCCAATGGTAAGGCGCTTGACTACGAATCAAGAGATTGCAGGTTCGAGCCCTGCGTAGGTCAATTCTTTTTTGTCCTCGTTTTGTCAGTCTCTAGACCGTCTGGTTCCGAGAGTTAATACCCACTGTGCCATTCAGGCAATGCGCTCAATTGTAACAACGACAAAACCCTCCTCACTACGGTTCAGTGCAAGCTGCCATATAAGCTTTCCGTCGAGAAAGTACGACTTGGACTTCGACCCATGAAACCCCTTAGACATATAATCTTCAAACAAAAGTTACTCGAGAATCCTTGGGGTTGGTGCTGGAATTGATATAGGCTGAGCCGACTGTGCAGCAGGTACCTTATCGATCCGCACACCCAGTGGGCAACGTAACCGAGGCAAATGACAACCATATCTCTTGTATCAATTGCGGCGGCATTGTGCCCTCCTTTTCGTATCACGAGGTGGAGGCGATGGGCTGAGTGCTTACATTCGTACGGCGGCCGAAGAGAACCAGTACACTGGCACGGGCCCCGACTGAACATCGAGGTAATGACTTCCAAACCCAGTGGAATTGCTATTATTTGTAGAATCTCTTGGTGCTGAAACAAGACACAAAAAGTCAGTAAGGACTTTTGTGGAATGGTTAGCGGAACGCTATCAAAAGGTATGGCATAGTCTACGTGGACAGTTGATACATACGACCACAGGGTGTGGAAAACAGGGCTTCCCGTCCGCTCAGCCGTACTTAAGCCACACGCCGGGAGGTTAGTAGTTGGGTGGGTGACCACCAGCGAATCCCTTCTGTTGTATGTTTTTGGTCGTCTTTTTTCTTTTTTTCCCTACACATCTGTATAAAGCTTCTGCCACGCGCAAGCACTTATACATAGCTTTTTTTTTCTTGTATAAAAGAAGAAACAACAGATCGAGGGTGGCGGGTGACCATTGGCAAAGAATTGCGTTGACCATTCTCCTCACCATTCGGAAATCACGGAAATTGCCTAAA